TCTGGTACAGTGGTAGTCTGGTAGAGTGGTAGTCTGGTAGTCTGGTACAGTGGTAGTCTGGTATTCTGGTACAGTGGTAGTCTGGTAGAGTGGTAGTCTGGTAGAGTGCTACCAAGATGGAACGTGGGTGTCACTCCTAACAGGAGGATCCAGGCCAGGCCTCTGTGGTATCAGGGAAGGATACTCACTAAACTGAACCCTTCAGCATGATCAGGCGTGGCTTTCCTGGCCGCAGCCCTCACCCCATCATGTGTTTGAGAAAGCTTTTCTGGCATAATGAAGGTCCTCAGTGACCATTCCACTAGTGCTAATAGGTTGTGCTAGGGCAGAAGGAAAAAGGGAGTTTGCATAGTAGTACAAATAATGCCAACGCTAGTCCATGAGGTAATAGCCAAGCGACCTAGGATCATTTAGTTCCAGTGACTGACCAACACTTATGGCATTAGGTCTCTCTTTTCTCTGCAAAAAGAGAGACCTAATGCCGTAGGTACAGAGAGGTACAGCTCACCCCAACCTCTACCTGCACCAAAGCCAGCATTACTGGCCTTCAAAGAGTGCTCTGTGGACACCCTTTATTCCTGAGAGAATAGAGGGTTCTATGGGGCCTGGCTGGGATCTTGATAAGAACACGTGAGCTTATGCAGCTGTTTGCCTGAGCTTGGTAAACTCCAGGACCCCTCAGTCATAAACAGTGAGATTTGGGCCTTGGGGCAAGTCCGGACTTGGGTTGGTGAACAGGAAGTTCCCCTGATTCACAATCCTTCCTGACATCCTGCCCCAGAGTAATTTGATCCACGGGCTTTTTAGATCTCCGCCTCTCCGAACCCAGCCAATTCTCATCAGGCCAAAAATTCAGGAAAAGGAAACTTGTGAGAAACCGAAACCAGTGGAGCAAGGGCCGACCCACAGAGCACTCCATCCTCTCTACCCTTCGCTGTTGGCTTCGCTCGGCAGGCACCATGAACCACACTTCTCAAGCCTTCCTTACTGCTACCACTGGAGGACACCCACCAAACTATGAAAGAATCAAGGAAGAGTATGAGGTGGCTGAGCTGGGGGGAACCCCTGGATCAGCTTCTGTCAGAACCACGGTGATCAACATGCCCAGAGAGGTGTCTGTGCCCGACCATGTGGTCTGGTCCCTGTTCAACACACTCTTCATGAACTTCTGCTGCCTGGGTTTCATAGCCTACACCTACTCAGTGAAGGTGAGTTCGGGAGAGGTGGGAGTGACAGTGTAGGAAGCTGTGTGTCAGCCTGAAGCTCCATCTACCCGATGGCACCGAGGTGGGGGGTTCTTTGTTTAAAATAAACTTGTGTGCATTCTTTCTTCTGTGGTGTGTGTGTGTGTGTGTGTGTGTGTGTGTGTGTGCGCCCGTGCATGCATGTGCATTTGTGTTGGTTTAAAGCATCTCCTGGGCAGACACAGGGGGAGGCTGCCTGGGATGCTGAGTTAGACTGTCCCCGTGCAGACTAGAGGAATGCCTAGAGTGCCCCCTTCGCCTTGCAGACGGGGCTGCTAGCCTGTGTGGAAAGTGTTCAGGAGATTCATGGGGAACAACATTCCATGGTGGGGTGAGCAGTAAGTGCTGGGACCTCCTGGATAATCAGAGTATGTAAAATGTTCCTGGCCTAAGTGAGGAAGATGCAGTCCATAAGGACTGTGGTGGGGGGAAATGACACTGCATTTGCCGATCAGCTACGGAGCCACTGACCGTTTACTCCTCTCCAGTCTAGGGACAGGAAGATGGTGGGCGATGTGACCGGAGCCCAGGCCTACGCCTCCACTGCCAAGTGCCTGAACATCAGCACCCTGGTCCTCAGCATCCTCACAGTTGTTATCACCATTGTTGCTGTCGTCATCATTTTTGTAATGATGTAATGATCATTTTTGTAAACGCTAGACAGCCTTTGATTTGATGGAGGACTCCTCTGGCTCCTGACACGTGCTTCACTGTCCACAGCTGCCGTCTTTCTTGCCCCTTTACCCCTCCCTCTATACAGATGTAACACTCATCTACCATAGTAGATTTAATAAAGTACACTAACAGCCACCGTGCTTTGACTGGTTTTATTCGGCTCACCTCAGTCGTCCTCTCTCTGAGGTGGGCGCGCAGGTTCTCCTCAATATGCCAGGTTCCTGGCCTACTGCTGTGCACATTTGCAGGGAGAACCCGAGCTTTGTTCGACCCTGGTCCCATAGTCCCAAGGTACCCAGTCCAGTTCAGAAGTGGAGGACGTGGCCTGGGTCCTTTCCGTTCAGGAAGAAAACCCGGACAAGATGTGTCACAAGTTCCATTGGTGCTTTCTGTGGACCGCTGGGCTGACTTGTTTAGAGTTTGCTGGGTGCTGCAGTGGGAACCTGGTGTCCCCTGCTGGTCCCATAGCAGCGTTGCAGTTCATTCCCTGTCCCGGAGCCTGGACTGACCCTAAACAAGGCTCAGACTCCCATTCTGCAGATAAGATAGCCGTGAGACCTTGTGGGGGATCTTGTCTTATTGGGGGCTGGCTGAGGACTAACGAGGTACAAATGAAGCAAGAGAGGGATGGAAAATTAGGACGTGCCAAGGGAAGAAGCTCCACTCTGAGAATCTAGTTTGTCGTCTTCACTGACTGAGAGTCAAGAAACCTTGATAAAGCCAAAATTGCCTCCATACTTCAGTT